GAGGAACAGGCCCCCGGCCCTGACACCAGCCAGCCCTGTCCCACTTGAGACCAGAGTTGGGTACTTTGGGAGAGTCTGGAGCAGGTTTCAAAGCTGTCCCGTGAATCCCCATGGTCTGAGGCCTGTTCGAGTGCCAGGGCCCTCATTTCGTGGTCAGAAGCAATGCCCGAAGGCCTGTCGCCGTCCACCCTAGGGCCTGGATGTCAGCTCCACCAGGTCTCAAGGACCGGGTGATTCCTTAGGTGTGGCCCTTGGCACCAACGTGTCACTGCCCCCTGTGGGGATAATGCCCCCTCGGGTGGTAAGACAAGGCCTGGGGGGGATGCCTGTCCTGGGGGCCTCGGCACGTGCAGTCCTAATGTGGCCTTCCGGTGAAGTCGAAGTGGCCCCAGTGAACAGCAGCAAGTGGCCCTGAGACCTGCTGCAGCGCCCCTCTGTGTCCCCAGGTTTGGGGGGCAGCTCCTAGCTTGGGGGCAGACGCTCGGCGGGTGGAGCCTGGAGCTTGGCGAGTCCTTGAAAGGCCCGAGTTCTTCTTCCGGTTTATTTTGGGGGTGGGGCTGCCGTCAGGGAGCTCGGCAGGGGCCCAGGGTTGCACAGCACGTGGGTGGCGATGGGGATTGGAGCCCAGGTCCACGAGCCCAGCGTACCTGCTCTTTCGTCTCCACGACCCCCCAGGAGCCCAGGGCCGGAGCGGGGAACACAGGATGCCGGGGTGGGTCAGCACCTGGGGCAGAGTCCCTCCGTGCCACCAGCCCTGCCTCCTCTGTCCCCCCAGATCTACCCCAACGAGAGACACAGCATCCGCTGCCCCGAGTCCGGCGAGCACTATGAAGTCACGCTGCTGCACTTTCTACAGGAGTACCTCTGAGCCCCGCGCCCCGGGGCCTGCACATTCAGAGCACAAGTGGCTTCGCCGCCGCCGCCGCCGCCACCGCAGGGGGAGCGGGCGGGAGGGGCCGAGTGGCCCCCGAAGGCCCCTCCCCTCGGCGCCTCCTCCCGCCGCCCCCGCTGGCCAGCCCCGCCCCGGGGCCTCCGCCTTCGCCGCCCCCGCGCCTTTTATCATTGTTTTAATGTTCCTGGCTGTTTTGCCTGCTGCTTCGCGGTGGCCAGGACGGC